GATTGATTGATCAGCGGATTCAAAAATCTGAATCAAAAGGATCTTCAAACATGATGCTATTGACACAATCTATATCTGTGAGTGCAGTGCATCTCCGTATACCAACGTTAACTCAATAATTATGGTCAGATTCTGGATGGAGGACAGAGGGCGGATCGACATTGTTGGAAAAGGTGTATTCTCAGGTCTGAAATGATTATGTTCCAGCGAAAGTCAGATTTCACGCTGTGTTTTATGCAAATATCGGTCTCGTTGACTGCTGTATATCGGTATCGGCTCTGAAAAAGGGAATCGTCCGACCCCTGTATACCACATTATAATGGAACACACACGGCTCAGTCAGTCGTGTAACAATCTTTGGTAAAACACGAGGGAAAAGGATGTTTCAGGAGAAAAGGTCGCTCCTCTAATGCTATTGCCGTGACTGATGGAAGATCGATATTATAGGACACGTCTGCGGAGGCTCAGCACCGGCCTCGTCCTTTCAGCTGAAAAATGAGCCACTCAATCGCGGTCGGCAGAAAGTGACATTTGTGAAACAACAGATTCAAAGTTTCATCTTCAGACGATGTTTCTGTTCCTCGCACCAAATGTGGACTTTGTCTGACGCTGAGCAGGGTCTGGGCTCTGGGAAAAATGTACATATACTGTATATTGCAAGAGAAAGCCAGTCAGCTCTCTGAAGCTAAGCAGGACAAAGCCTGGTTAGTACTGGGATGGGGGACCTCTGAGAACACCAGGTGCCACAGTGGGCGGCTGAGTTTAGTCCTGACTCCAGGACCGGCACAGCCTGGCTCTGCCAGACCCTTGTAGTTCCGCCATGCTCCACCAGAGGCGTCTGGCTGAACCACATGGGTCTGGTATTGAGGCCATACCAAACTCCTTAGCAGAATATTTTGTAATCGACCAATCAGGATTGCCGGTGTTACGTGGGGTTTGCACCGCCTTCCCAAGCGTCCGCAAATATAATTTTTTTTTTTATACGAACAAATTAAGACACGGAGGTCACTTTTAATGCAATATTAGGCGAGATGTTGATGGTTCCATGTTGATGGTTCCATGTTGTTATGTGTGTGTTTTAAGAGTCAAATGTTTGTGTAAAGTTTGGTTTAGGTGTTCCTGTTTACAACACTATGCAGCAGGGTTGCCAGGTTGGGTGGTTTCCCGCATACTTTTCTTCGAGAGACTTGTAGGTAATAAATAAACAGAAAGACAATAAACAGAATCATGATAGCCCAAGTTGATTACATTAAGTTTTTAGCCAAAAAATCATTCTGGGTATTTTTTTGGGCATTCTCGCGGGTTTTGGGCTGGAAAATCTTGCCGGCATTTGGCAACCCATGGGAGTCGTGTGCTTCGATGTGAGTGGTTGAAGGAAGACGTCATTCAAGAAAACGGACAAGTGGTTTATCCAATCACATACAAGGATTTGTTTTAGAAGGCCCTGCCTTCTGAAATCCAACTGCTATGGCTCAGGCCCAGACTCATGTGTGAAGTGCAGCGAACTAAAGTCTATTCTCTGAGCCACAGGAAGCAGAGACCTGAAACCAGGACTAATGTGATGGTACTTCCATACATCATTTTATTATGTATGGAAGTCATCTGAGATGACTTCTGTTGTGATTTAGGGCTATACAAGAATAAATTGTATTGTATTGTAAATTGTAAATACCATCACATTACATATTTTTTCTCGTTTGGAGAGACCTGTGAGCAGCTGTTACTGTAGTTGAATGCATTGGTTTTATATAGCGCTTTTTTGGACACTCAAAGACACTTTACATGTCATAATTCATTCACTCCATTCACGTGGTGATAAACTACTACTGTAGCCACAGCTGCCCTGGGACACTCTGACAGAAGCGAGGCAACCAGTCTGTGACATCGGCCCCTCCCACCACCACCAACCATTCACACACACTCCAGACTCATTCTAATGTGGGGGAAGTGTCTTGCCTAAGGACACAACCACAGTTTAGCACCGTGGCACCTGATGGTGTTCCCAGAGGTTAAGTGTCTTGCCCAAGGACACAACAACAGCAGACAGTAGGAGTCGGTGGAGAAGGTCCCACGACCTTCAGGCTCAAAGGCCAACGCTCTGCCAACTGAGCCACTGTTGCCCCTAACCTTCCAGAGGCAAATACATGGATAAGAATCTGCTTTAGACACTATGGTTTTGATGGCAATGTTTTGTAGGTGGTTGTTATTGCTTTAATTTACAGTCAATCCTGACAAAATCACAAACACAAAAGACATAGTTCGGTATTTTTAATACTTGGTTACGTTTTCCAAGGAGAAGTGATTTCCAAACCAGAGACAGAGCAGAAAGCTGCTCTCTCTTTGGTTTCAAAATCAGATAAGATAAGATAAGATAAGATGTGCTTTATTTATCTCACATAGGAGAAATGTACATGTCACATTTGGCATGGATAGAGACACTCAGATTGTGCAAAGGGAGGAAATGTGCAAACATGTTACATGCAGGATATATGTACAATAAAGTGACAATAATTATGTACAACAAAAGTGACAAGTGTCAATTGGAAACAGTGTCAATAGTAGTGCAGGTTTTCACACAGTGTGAATTTAAAGTGACTTATTGTACAGTCTGACAGCAGGGGGATAAAGGCCCTGCTCCTTCCTACACTGAGGGTGCCTCAGTCTTCCACTGAAGGAGCTCCTCAGCTCCTCTACAGTCCTGTGCAGTGGGTGGGAGGTATTGTTCATGATGGAGGTGGCTTTGGCTAGCACCCTCCTGTCCCTCACCTCCTCCAGAGTCCAGGGAGCAGCCCAGAGTGGAGCTGGCCCTCCTGACCAGCTTGTTCAGTCTGTTTCTGTCCCGCTCTGTGCTGCCCGGGGCCCAACACACGGCAGCGTAGTAAATGGCAGAAGCTACCACCGAGTCATAAAAAGTCCTGAGCAGAGGCCTGCTCACTCCGAAGGACCTCAGCCTCCTCTAAAGGAAGAGGCGACTTTGGCCCTTCTTGTGCAGGGCGTTTGTATTATGAACCAGTCCAGTTTATTGTTAATGTGAACACCCAGGTACTTGAAGCTGTCCACCAGCTCAATGTCCTCCCCCTGGATGTTCAGCAGCGTGTGGGAAAGTGGTTTTCTCCTGAAGTCGATGATCATCTCCTTGGTCTTACTGGTGTTCAAGCAGATCTAACTGAGATTAGGCCGCAAACTCCTTTTGAAAGTACAAGACATACCTTCATATGCAGATAGGACAGTACAGGACAGACAGAGCCAACACAACAAAAGAACAATGACAAGACCTTCCTCATTAGCATGTTCAAAAGCCTGCTTCCTCCTGGCATCAACACACGACTCCCCATTCACTCTGGAGTCAACAGTATATAATTCAGCCACATATGATTTACTACAATGATAACTTGATAACATTCTAATGTCAGTGGTAAAAAGCTGCTGATGTAAAGTGTAAGTGTAAAGTTTAAGATTTCTGACATGATTTGAAGGTTTTTGTCACAGACTTCCTTTGAAATGAAAATTAAAATGACATCAGCAGCACATCCATCTTCACATTTGGTCCAATTTTGGATCAATCCAAACAAACCCTGGTTGAACTCAATATGTTCAGAAAAATCTTCCAGAAAATGTATATTTATTAATATATGTAATATGGACATAACAATAACATTGGACAAACCAGATGCATTGCTGCTGGTGTCAAAGCACAGGTGCTAATTTTCAACACTAGTTCATATCATAACTCTTTACAAAAGTAATCATTCATGTCAGAATACCTCCATAATGTAACAAACAAGTGTATTAAATATGTAACGGTCCACTCTAGTTTCTGTATTTTGACCTTCGACCTCAGTCCAAAGTGAGTTTGACACTCGCTGCTTTTGAGCTTGAAATAATATTTGTTCCTAATAAATATCTCCTCGCTCTGCTGCTGCCAGCCTCACACATGTGTTCTCACTGTGATAACAGGGCAGGTGTGTGTGTGTGTGTGTGTCCGTGCCCGTGTGTGTGCATGTGTGTGTGTCTGAGTGTGTGTGTGTCCGTGTGTGTCTGTGTGTTTGCGCGTCTGTGTGTCCGTGTGCGTCTGTGTGTGTCTGTGTCTCTGTGTGTGTGTGTGTGCGACTCACCGGAGCGTGTCCACAGAGCACTCCGGGGACGGCCTGTCCGCTCTCCACTTCACCGTCTAAATGTTTCTCCAAAGTGCTTTTGAACCCACCACCTGCAGCGCTATTGTTCCTCCTCTTCCTCAATAAAACATGGCAGCTGCGTGTCCACCGGGCCCCAGCGCCTCGCGTCCGACTCGCCGCTTTTATCCACGTATCAGCCGCAAACAGTCCTTTTGTCTGCTCCATTAGAAACAACACAACAATGGAGGCTCAGAGGCCGGGTTTGTTCAGCAGAGCATGAGCCGTGTGTGCGCTGTAACCCAGACTTGCTCCCCTCTGCTGTGTAGGTTTCCTCCGGGTGCTCCATTTTCTTCTACCACTAAAAACATGCACACTAGGTAAATTCCTCCCGCTGTGGTTCTGACCGAGCCGAGTATCGACATCTGTAGATGGGTTCTGGGCGCTGTTACCATGACGACCACTGCTCCTGACGTAAGCCTAGTGGCATCAGGGTCAAATGCAGAGGATGAAATGGGGATAAATAAAGTGCACCTTTACCTTTAAGACACAGATTACAGATGGTTCTCAAAGCGAGTCTGTAGAAGTCAGTGCTCCAGTGACTTCTGCAGACTCGTTCAGACTCGACCCGACTGCCTCCACCTTTAGAACCACATCGATTTTCTGAGAAAAACTGTTGAAACGACTGTAAATCTGCGACTAAAGCCATATCTTCGCCTCCTTCAGCCGTTGTGGGTTAAAAAAAAACTAAAACAACTTACGCAACTTCATTGTTTATATTTATTAGATTGTGAATCCAGCTGACCCTCAGTGAAGCCACGAGGCACTTTCATGTCACAGGTTTCTCTCTGGGTTGTTGCTTTAACTGTATCAGTGCCATGGACTGATTTACAAATGAAATACTGCTTTCTTGTGCTGTAGTCTTCTCTTTGGGCTGTAGTTTTCTTTTTGGGCTGTAGTCTTCTCTTTGGGCTGTAGTCTTCTCTTTGGGCTGTAGTCTTCTCTTTGGGCTGTAGTCTTCTCTTTGGCCTGTAGTTTTCTTTTTGGGCTGTAGTCTTCTCTTTGGCCTGTAGTTTTCTTTTTGGGCTGTAGTCTTCTCTTTGGGCTGTAGTCTTCTCTTTGGGCTGTAGTTTTCTTTGTGCTGTAGTTTTCTTTGTGCTGTAGTCTTCTCTTTGTGCTGTAGTCTTCTCTTTGTGGTGACTGTGATTTCCGGTATCGACCCGACGTAAGTGTCATAAAGCAGTGGATGTCGTTCTGATTGTTTCCTCCCAAATCGATGGAAAAGCACAGATCTGGCAGCGGCCGTTATGAGGTCATTATTAAAGTGCGTCGATAGAGCCACAGCCGCCTCGGGGCGACGCCAAAGAACCACTTCCAACCAGATTGTTCCCGTCAATAACACACACGGATCTTCCACAACAACAAGAGGTCACATACAGGTATCATTAGAGGTGGTGTGATGCATTATGGGAGGTCATTTTAGACATGTTAGAGATTATTTTATGTTATAGACGGTGGAATAATGTGACCTCATGTCGTGCAGAAAGGTCCATAGTCTACGGTCTATATTTAGTGGGAGAAGTGGTGAATATTCTGCAAATATAATGAAATAATAAGTATAATAATGGAGAATAAGTCTTTCCCACAGTGTTTTAGTCGAGACTCAAGTTTTTTGAGTCTCTCTCTGGTCTCTCTCTGGTCTCTCTCTGGTCTCTCGCTGGTTTCTCTCTGGTCTCTCTCTGGTCTCTCTCTCTGGTCTCTCTCTGGTCATTCTCTGGTCTCTCTCTGGTCTCTCTGTGGTCTCTCTCTGGTCTCTCTCTGGTCCCTCTCTCTGGTCTTTCTCTGGTCTCTCTCTGGTCTCTCTCTCTGGTCTCTCTCTGGTCATTCTCTGGTCTCTCTCTGGTCTCTCTGTGGTCTCTCTCTGGTCTCCCTCTGGTCCCTCTAGTCTCGCTCTGATCTCTCTCTAATCTCCCTATAGTCTCGCTCTGGTCTCTCTCTAGTCTCCCTCTAGTCTCGCTCTAGTCTCCCTCTAGTCTCGCTCTAGTCTCCCTTTAGTCTCGCTCTGGTCTCTCTCTAGTCTCCCTCTAGTCTCGCTGTGGTCTCTCTCTAGTCTCTCTCTGGTCTCTCTCTAGTCTCCCTTTAGTCTCGCTCTGGTCTCTCTCTAGTCTCGCTCTGGTCTCTCTTCAGCAGTGGTGAGTATAAAGTGTGTGTGAGGGTTGTACAGATTTATAACCTACAGCTTCTAGGATTTCACTTATTGTGGGTTATTTAAAAACGTAACCAACGTCATAAACCAGGGACCACTCTATTGCACGTGTTTCCACGATGGTGCTGCCCTCATGAACAGATACACCTCAAACTGTAGACCAGGGGTGTCCAGACTTTTTAGCAAGAGGGCCACTTTAGTTCATCAGACTTGACCTGGGTTCGAGCTGGATCGACTGGAATCTGGAACTTAAAATGTCCCATGATACATCCTTATTGATTGACTGCTGCATTTTTTGTGGAATGTTGGGACACAATTACAGTATAAAGCAATTGTCAGTAAATAACAACAGAGTCAACAACTGGATTCCAGAGAGTTTGAGAGTTACAACATGGTATAGCATAACTGTATTGGTGGAGCTGAAGTTGGTTGGATGACACTGTCAAAGTGCCTCAATTGTGTTTTTAGCAGAGGGCCACATGACACAGAGGGCCGCAAATGGCCCTTGGGCCTGAGTTTGGACCTGCCTGCCTCAGACTTATTATATATATTTCATCAAAGTCATCTGGAATCATAAAATACATCGGATTAAAATTGGAGCTGGACACATTCCCATAATGCAGTGTGTGGAACAAAGGAGAGCAAAGCCCGGAGGATCCATGTCATGAAGGTGCACGGAGAACAGAACTCTGCAGCAGCGATCCAGCTTCACTCCGACAGTCGCCGTTGCTATGGAAACGCTCCCAAACACGGCGCACTTCCACCGCGTTCATTCGGCGTTCGCTCTCAAAGAGACGGCGCTGAGGGAGGAGGCCGCCGTACCGGGAGCTGCCTGTAACCACGGCTCTGCGGTAAGAACAGAGCGGCTCATCAGCACAAAAACAAGTGTAAACAAAAGATGAGATCAGAAAACACAGCTCAGTGAGACGCAGGAGGATTACGGCGTCTCCTGCTGAGATTTATTCATCTGCAGCAGACGCTCGAGTGCTTCTCTGCATCACAGCTCCAGAAAAGAAAACACACTTATTCTACACATGCTCCAGAGTGCTCTAGACCAGGTCCAAACTCAGGCCCACAGGCAAAATGCGGCCCTCTGTGGAATTGTATGTGGCCCTTTGCTGCTAACACAAAGACGCCATTGAGCCACATTAACAGTAGCCTGGCGTTATCCATCCGAACACTCCACTCAATCATCATTTCCTGCATGTTACGTCTGGGTCTGGTCCCTGGGTTAGCGATTACAATCGGTAGAATTCCATCCGACCAATTGACGAGTGCGAGAGGAGGGTGACGTCAGGATTTTGCGCCGAACGGGCAGGTTGTAGTTTGGCAATGGCAAAGAATGCGATAGTAAAGTAATCCGGTCTGGTTCTATCAAGAAATTGAAGCCGGAGCAAGAGGAATGTTTAGCAAATGTAATCTCTGGCAAAGATTGTGTCCCACGGGCTCCGTTAGCGGCAAAGGAGATGGCTAAAGCTAGGCTAAATGCTAAATGCTAACAACTCACTCGGGCTCATTACATAAACTCCAATGGTTTCAATCTGCAAAAGGAGTTAACCCCTCCCACCTGTTAACGGAGTCAATGGAGCAAATCCAGACCTTAGTACCAAACGTAATTTGTACTGCATCAGTGTGAATCGAACAGGACGTATCCAAACCATTTGAAATTCCAGTCCAGTCGATCCAGCTCAAATCCAGGTTTTAAATCCAGATTGTGGCCCCAGGTACAGTCTGATGAACTAAAGTGGTCCTCTTACTAATAAGTTTGGACACCCCTGCTCTAGATGCTTCCAGGCTGGTTAGCTGTAAATGCTTCAATATCTTTTCCATTTAACGCAAAATGTAAAAAACAACATCAGCTGTGATTGATATTGGTCTTTTTCTAATCATTATAAATCATGATTCATTTCCCTCTGATTTTTGATTAACACTTTTTTATCCTTTCCGTCGTAATACTTCGTCTTCATTTTACTTGTTTAATTTACAAAGTCCTGGACGACTTTGTGAATTGAGCCCAACAAAAAGGACTTGTTCAGGTTTAAAGCGCGCTGCATGAGAGTTTGTGTGGATGAATATTAAACGCTGCTCTTGTGGGAGTTTCCTGTCTCTAATCAGTGATAAATATGTGCATCACAAGTGGACCAGCAAGAATAAAGCTATTTAGAGCTGACTCGGCATTTTACAACTAATAATTATGGAAACAGCAGTATCTGGGAAATAATCATCAGAGGCAGATCCAGTCTTTGTTCTGGAGGAAATGCTGCAGTCGAGGCGCAGAGACGGGGCCAGAGGAGGGACTTTCAGTTTGTTTTACTCTATACCAGGGGCCTAGGAGCTAAAACACCAACCAACTAAAAACTACAATCTGTATAACTTGCATGACTGTGAAGTTTTGTAAATTAAAAATTGAATTGAAATGGATGGAGGGTCATACCAGGCCCCGGCGATCCAAGATGGCGCCGTGTTCAAATGAAAGGTTTGTGCTCAGTGGCGCATGTGACGGCATGGGGGCTGAAAGATTAGCGGAAGTCGCCTGGAACTCGCAAAGATCTATGGGAAACTCGCCTGTATTTGGGCATCGTCTGGTCCTCCCGGTTCTGCGCAGTGGATGATCTCCCATGATGCGTTGCACGAATTACACACGTGCACAGAGGGGCTCGGCTGCGCGCTGACCAATCAGAGCAGGTCATCAGAGCGGGAGTTAGAGCGAGAGCCAGACGAGCAGAGTTTGTGGCACTAAAGTGTGGATTTAAACAAAACCGAAGGATTTAAGAAAAGTTCAGGATGACAAGGGACACTAAAATCCCCACAAAATCCGATCTTTATCAAAGCTGTAGGTTCTCTGTCAGGTTCTCTGTCAGCTGAGGTCGAGCTCTTTTAGTTTACATTGAGTTCTATGGAGAAAATTTCTGGGTAGCCCACGTGAATTTAGTCTGGTTTAGTCTGGTTCAGTCTGCAGTACCGCGAGAATCCCCTGAGCACATGGTTCTTCAGCTCCAAGCTGTAATACTCTATCCAGTTATTATAATAGATCCATGGGTCATACTCACTTTTGGTCAATACATTGAAGTTAATTAATTGGTTCAGTTGGTAGAGCATTGGCCATTGAGCCAGAAGTAAGTAAGTAATGTTTATTTATATAGCGCATTTTACAGACCAAGGTCAGATATTGTTCCAATCATTCCACACACGGTGATGACAGAAGCGAGTCGCATCAAAGCCCCAACACCATCCATTCACTCTCTCATCTACATTCAGACCTATTATACATGTTTTTAGTGGTAGGGGAAACCGGAGCACCCGGAGGAAACTTACGCTGACACAGGGAGAACATGCAAAAGAAGCAAGAGTGCTAACCACTCAGCCACCGTGCCGCCCAAGGTTGTGGGTTTAAGCCCAGCACGAGAACTTCTTCACAGACTCCACTGATGTATGCCCCCATTGTGTCCTTGGGCAAGACACTTAACCTCACTTTGCCTGAAGCCCCCGCTGCAAGATCAAGGCTCCTGTGGACTCAGCACCTGCAGGAGGATCAGTGAGGGGCTGGTGCTCTGACTGCCACCCCCCTGACCCAGAAATGGATTAAGGGGAAGAAAATCAATGGATGAATTGAATCGAAAGAGATCTGCACACACAAACTTTGGGAACAGATCAGATCCTTTTAGAACTGACCTCTTCATTCGTTAAGTTGTTCATTTAGACTCATTGGACCATCAACGTAAAACACAGTACTGTCTCCAGCATGGTGTGAAGGAGCAGCGTCCTCCACACGAGCTCTTTCCTCCCTGCTGTGTGGCCACTTCCTCACTCACTCGAAGCTAATCTCTTGTTAGAAGTGAAACCACACGACCGGGACATCCAGGCACAGCAGCAGAGAAGTTTCCAAATCATTCAAAAAGAAAACACTTGTATTTATAGACTGGCCTTTGGTGAAACAGAACCACGGGAACTCTTACTGATTCATCACCTTTTTGAGACTTTTTAGTTTCGACTGAGATAACCCTTGTGAGAAAAGGAGCATGTGTGGTTGTATTTGGATGCAGCCGGTGTCTCGGTCTTGTGCGATATGGAAACACAAGTTCCCATCTCAACATACTACACTCCGTCCTTGAGTTTGGACCCACAACACTTTAGAGCCACAGCAGAGATCCCCATCCGGTTCTCCAGTCTATGAGAAAGGCTTTTAGAAATCAAAAGTTAAGCAGGGCCGGGTCCGGTTAGGACTGTGATGGGAGACCTCTTGGAAAACCAGCCACTGCAGTAAGGCGGCTGTGGCTGTAAAGTGCCAAACTGCTGTTGTGTCCTGAGGCAAGACACTTCACCCCCATTAGATTGAGTCTGGTGAATGAGTGAATGATCGATGGTGTTGATGGTTTGGTCAGACCGAAACACTAAAGATTGGTTGAAAGCAGTCAGTCAGACATTGAATCTGTTTGTACAATAATAACGGACAACACTATATTCAGATTCAGATTATATTATTTGCCATTTGCAATAAAAAAACATATTTGACAACCGTGAATCAGAAGTTTGTACATTTGATTCACTCTAAACAGTGCATAGAGTGGCGCTGTGCCCACGTGAGGTGTTGACGTCATCAGATGGCGAGTGTGAGCGTAGCCTAATCTGTAAACTACATATTCAAAGTGCTCTTCCCAACACTCGCTCGAAGGGAAATAACAGAAGCAATTATGAATCCTGGATCTTTTATGTGCGCCCTCATTAAAACCACACGCGGCACGAGAACAGTAGAGGAGGGAGAGCGCCCGCAGCCAGGATGTGTTAGCAGCGGTACAGTGAGGGCCCTGCTGAGCGGAGGGGGCGGATGGGGGCCCGGGGGGGGAGGGGTGGGGAGGATGGAGGGGGGCACTGCTCTCCTACAAACAAGCACAGGATGTTAAGCGCCAGACTAAATGAACGATGCATCTGCAGCTCTCTCCCGGCGGGATGATGACAGGCAGAGAAACCCTACAGGAGCCGCGAGGAGCCACGAGGAGCCGCGAGGAGCCACGAGGAGCCCAGAGGTACAGAGCTGCAGGAGACTCTCACTTCCTCTTCTGGACTCGGCCTTTCCTTGAAGATGGCGACTTCAGGACATAATTTGCTAAATCATGTTACAACATTGTTCTTTAATAGATCTGTGGATTTAGGGAGTTTCTGCACAGAGACTGCATTTGCAAAAATAATGAATGTCTCTCTACAGGGTTCAACACAGTATCAGTGTGTAACAGTATGTTTGGGACTAAATGTACCATTTAGTGCCTGCAAAATGTAAGAAATTATGAAATTATCTGTGATTAATTTGGGTGTTTTACTAATCATAATAAATCATGATTAATTTCCTTACATTTTTAGATTAATAATATTTTTCATATTTGTTCATTTTTTTAATTACAAAGTCCTGAAAATGTGTTGAATTCCTCTAAATTACTTTTAATTTAGAGTTTAGTTTAGTTCAGCTGTTAATCCTTGTCCGGGCAACAACATGGACTCTACTGGACACTAAACTGTAAAAATACATCATAGAAGGCAGAAGGAAACAAATCTTAAAAGTCCACATTGAGCGTGTTTCTTGACTGCTATCACTCTGCTCTCTGTTTGCACTAACAAACACATTACAAATCCACGTATTGTACACCAAGCTAACTGTGTAAGCACTCAGAGTCAGCTGTACTGCAGCTGAGGTTTAGGTAGCGGTTGTTTGTCTGGTCTCGGAGTCTGTTGTGCGGGCCCGGATCCGTACTAGCTTAGCCTAGCCTAGCTTAGCCTAGCCTAGCCGCTAACTCGCTACTATGGCGGCTGCTGTCTCTCCCTCAATCCTTTACTGCTCGAGTTGCCATATGGCGAGTCTAAACCCTGGATCCTTCTCTGAGGGTAGTGATAGATGTGTGAAGTGTAGTGTAGTCGTAGCTCTGGAATCCAGGGTCAGTGAGTTAGAGCTACGTCTCCGAGCACTGGAGTCTCGAGCTAGCGCTAGCATTAGCTACAGCCAGGCCGTATCCTCAGGGACAGCGGAGCGCAGCTTTAGGGAAAGGCAGAGGAGAACTAGCGAGCCTAGCCTCCCAGCCCGTCCTCCGCAGCTGGGACAAGACCAGGATAGTGATGGCTTTGTGACTGTTCGGAGAGGGCCACGTGTTGTTGGTAGTTTCCCCATTGGGCCTCCTCCTGTTAGCATTTACAATCGCTGGGACGCTCTGTCCGGCTGCGCCCCCGCGCGGCCGGGCGGGGAAGAAGGCCCCACTGAGAGAGCCGCTGAGAGAGCTGCTGAGAGAGCCGATGGAGTCGCTGATGCGCTGGTAATTGGCTCCTCTATTGTTAGAGGTGTTAAGATCCCAGGAGCCACTGTTCGGTGCTTCCCTGGGGCCAGGCTTGGTGATATTGAAGGGAATCTGAGGCTCATGATGACCCACAAGCAGCGTTTCCGTCGAATTGTTATTCACGCGGGTGGTAATGACGTTCGGCGGAAACAGTCCGAGGTGTTGAAGCTGCAAGTCGCCGCCGTGTGCAAGCTGGCTAGCACAATGGCCGACACTGTCATCTTCTCTGGGCCCCTACCTAGCACTAGCAGTGCAGAAGCATTCAGCAGACACTCGGCTTTCAACCGCTGGCTGTCTGGCTGGTGCCCTCGAAGTGGTGTTGTTCATGTTGACAATTGGAGTGCCTTTTGGGGAAAGCCCGGTCTCATCCGCTCGGATGATATCCACCCAACGTTGGCGGGTACATCCCTTTTGGCTAAGAATTTGGCCCTGGCTCTAAACTGTTCTGCTCGGCTCAAATGACGATGCAGAACTGAGGCCCGGGTGCAGAGCTGCTCTGCCACAACCTCTGAGCCCCCATCTGTTCAGTTACTAGCCTCAGAAGCTAGTCAGATTGAAACTGTGTGTGCATGTGTGTGTGTGCCTGTGTGTGCTCAGTTACTAGCCTCAGAACCTAGTCAGATTGAAACTGTGTGTGTTCCCCGCTTGAAGTCTAAAGCACTATATGCGAGGAAATCTGACCTAGGTGTCAGACACAGTAACTTAATAAAGGTTCAGACAGACAGAAATAGTTCTAGCGGTAGGGTTGTTAAATGTGGTTTAATGAACGTCAGATCAATCTCGTCTAAATCGCTTCTCATAAACGAACTTATTATAGACAAGGGCTTGGATCTGTTTGCGCTCTCGGAGACTTGGCTCCAACAGGACGACTACGTTAGATTGAATGAGTGCACTCCTCCGACGCATGTTAACTACCAGAAAGCCAGAGCTACAGGTCGCGGCGGTGGTGTTGCGATTATATCACACACCAACTTGGTTTTTAGTCCCAAAACCAACAACGCTTTTCACTCGTTTGAAAACTTAACACTTTCAATCACCTGTCCTGGGTGGAGAAAACAAAAAGCAGTACTATTTATAGTTTTATACCGACCTCCTGGTCCTTACAGCGAGTTCCTAACAGAATTCTCTGACTTCATTTCAAACCTAGTTTTGGAATGGGAAAACATAGTTATAGCTGGAGACTTCAATATACATGTGGACGACAGCACTGACAGCTTAAACAAAGCTTTCAGCGCCGTACTAGATGGTGTTGGTTTTACTCAGAATGTCGAGGAACCTACTCACATTCATAACCACACCTTGGACCTTGTCCTGACCTACGGCTGTGATGTCTCCAATGTTGACATCCAGCGTCAAAGCTCGTTGCTGTCTGACCATTTCTTGATCACGTTTGATCTCGCTTTGGAGGACTTTCCTGTCCCGCAAGATAAAAACCATAATGAAAAGAACCTTAAATGATAAATCTATCACAAGGTTCAAAGAACTAATACAGCCTATGTTGAATACTGCTGCAGGTGAACCTGTTCACAGCAGCTGCAGTCCCTCAGTCATTGACCAAACGGTGGGCAACACTATGGAGTCTTTAAAATCTGCATTAAATGCAGCAGCTCCTTTAAAACAGAAAACCATTAGGATTAGATCATCGTCGCCCTGGTACAGTGTTCAACTCCACACTTTAAAACAGGACGTCAGAAAATTGGAGAGGCTATATCGCCACTCCCACTCGGAGCCTGTCCACAGGGAGTGGAAAGCAGGTCTCCGAAACTACAAGAAGGCCCTTCGCGGGGCTCGAACTCAATACTATTCAACTTTAATAGAAGCGAATAAAAACAACAGTAGATTTTTGTTTGGTACCGTCGCTAAACTCACAAACTGCCATAGCGCAATCGAGCCTAAAATTCCAAGCTCACTGAGCAGTGTCGACTTTCTCCACTTCTTTAATAATAAAATTACATCCATCCGTGACAAGCTGGAGGAGGTTGCTCCTGCTGTTAGTGGTGGACAGGTTGAAGCGGCATACGTGACTTCCCACTTAGACTCTTCAGTGGGCCTTAATAAATTCATGGCTGTGAGCCAAGCAGAGGTGATCTCTGTGGTCACATCCTCAAAAGCCTCAACTTGCATGTTAGACGCAGTCCCGACATGGCTCTTCAAAGACATACTTCCTTTGATAATTGAGCCTATCGTAAATATAATAAACGCATCCATACAATGTGGCTATGTCCCACAAGCTTTTAAAACCGCGGTAATCAAACCCCTTCTGAAGAAAACAAACCTGGACCCAGAAATACTTACAAACTACAGACCGATCTCAAACCTCACTTTTATATCTAAAATCCTGGAAAAACTTATAGCTGAGCAGCTCCGCTGCCACCTGCAGGAAAATGATATGTTTGAAGTCTTTCAATCAGGATTCAGAGCTCATCATAGCACTGAAACGGCACTAGTCAAAGTCACAAATGACTTACTACTAGCTGCCGATAATGGACAAGTGTCAGTGCTGGT